TGACTTGTTCTAGTTTCGAGCCATTGCAAAACTATGCTTCCTGGTAGGTTAATAATGTTGTTTTTGTTTCTTATTCTGGCGCAAGCAATACTGGGTGATAGACTAGTCAAAGCTGACAGCGGACAGGGTCACAGCATTTGAGTACTGGACATTCCAAGTCTACAACATTGACGGTTAGAGCACCGATAATAGCGCTAGCCTGAAATCGGAACAGCAGGGCTGCGGAGCCTTGACTGGCTGGGACTGGAACGAGCGCACCGGCACATCCTTCGCAAGCGCCTACTTTAACTTACTATTCTTCATGAAGTCTGGTTGCGTCAAGCGAGCTATCGTGTCTGCCGGTGGACCCAAGATATCCTGTGAGTTTCAGGGGTATGATATCAGAGTGAGAGTCCTGCCGGCGAAGAAACGATCGTTGGCGACAGATGCTCCGCCACCGGTCAAGCGTGAGATGATTAAGCGCCAGATGGTCACTGCCACACCTGAACTTCTAAGCCGGGCTTCATACCCAACTTATACCTATACAACGACTCCCCCAACTTGTACGACCGAGCCGTGAGGCCCTGGCAGCACAGTGATCTTGACGACCACAGTGGAGTCTACTGTGAAGTCGACGTACACGACACAAATTGTGTTGAATTCATTCACAGGGTGGCCAACCGAGCCAACCAGCACACCGAATCCCTCAACCGATGGTCGCTGTGGCCCTGATTTTGGAGGAACCACCTGTGAAGGCACATCCTATAGCGATTGCTGTTCCATCTATGGATGGTGTGGCTCAGAATCCTCTTCCTGTGGCCATCTGATTTGCGACCCTGAGCATGACACATGCGACCCAGTCCCCGAAGAACCACCAGTCTCGCAAAATGGCGCCTGCGGTCCCCCGAGCTTCATCGGCGCAACCTTTGCTGGTTCGACGTTTGGTGATGGCTGATTGGTCTGGCGAATGCGGCTCTGGCACCGCATTCTGCGCTCCCGAGAGCTGCGATCCTGATTACGGTGACTGTGGCGGCTTGGGCCCGCCGGTCAGTACTGATGGTACATGCGGCGCGAACGGGCACACCTGTGCCGGCTCTACCTTCGGAGGTTGCTGTTGCCAATCCGGCTACTATAGAGACGCAAGCGCTTTCTGCGGCATGGGCTGCCAGACCACTTTTGGTATTTGTGATATGAGTGGTCCACCAGTCTCCACAGACGGTACCTGCAGCGCAAATAGCACTCCAGAGGGCGCGACCTGCGCTGCATCTGGCTTCGGCGATTGTTGCTCCGAGTACGGCTATTGCGGAGCCACTAATGCGTACTGCGGAGCCGGATGTCAGGCAGCTTTTGGTACTTGTCCATAAGGTAGGGAAGTTAGGACACTAGTTAGGTGAAGCCGACATCAGCCATGGTGACGAGACAAGGATCTACAGTAGTATCACCTATGTAAAATCATAAATAGGAGTAAATGCAAGTCCTGACATTGTTCTTGCCATTGGCTAGGCCGATGCATTGCTAACATCTTGCTTTCAGCTCGAAATTAAACTCTTTAGAAATGGGTGAAAGCTTCCATCTTGCGAAAAGCTGCCCATTCTCCAGCAAGATAAGCCGTAGTAACTCACTCCGATCCTCTACTGTAATAGGCCATTGTGTATCTCCCTTCTGCACATATGGCTCTATAAGCGTCAAAGCTTTTTGGATCCACTGCTCGGCCTTAGTTTCATCCTCAATCCTACCTGCTGCCGCTATCCCCCGCTTTAGATCGTCCAGATGTTGTTCCCGCTCAGCAGACTCAAATGCAGCACGCATTACCCCTAGAAGTATGTGCGATCGGATTGTATAGTCCAAATAGCCCATATCAACAACACCCTCCGTCTCTTTGGCTGCAACAGCTGCTAGGAAGCCAATCTCCTCTTCACTCCCTACCTCTGGCTCAAACCCTCTATACTCCGTCTGAGGCTCAATCCCCCCGTCCGGCCCTCCGGCCCACTGCACCTCACCCTTGCGCGTCCCATCCAGATCTGGCTCAAGCAGCGTAGTTTGTCCTTTAACCGAGTCCCAGAGTTCCTGTGAGTAGTACGCTTCCCACTTCCACACATCAATCCAACCCTGTGCGATACGGGTACCAAATCGGTTAAAGTTCCATGCCTCCTTGTGGGTAAGGGGCTAGGCTGATCCACCTTCATATATTCAAGCCAAAAGCGGGCTTGAGTCTCTGAGTAGGTTTGAACGCTTAGGAAGCCGCCTTCACGGAGGCGTGAGATGGTCTGCTTGAGGGTTGAAATGGCTATCTGAGTCATCTCTGCTACAGACAGGGTAGATTGTCTTGACCGAGTACGCGCGACATTATATGCCCAGCGGGGGAGTTTAGTGAAGTGGCCGACTCCTCTATGGAAGCGTGGCTGCGCGATCGGGTCGCTGGAATCAGGCAGGTCTAGTAGGTCGGGCATGCGGTACAAGCGAGCTGAGGTTGCTTGCGCAATGAAGGGGGGTGAGTAGAACTGTCTCCATGCGTCCTGGTTGAGTAATTGGCTGTGCTGGGTGTAAAAGCTGTCAAAGTCGTCTGCAGAAGGTATCTCGAAGTCGTCGCTGAAGTGGTTGGTGGAGCGCCATGTGCAGGTTGCTATCTGGGCTAGGTAGAATATATCAAGGGTGCTTTTGATTATCGTCAGATTGTCAGTCTCCTTCGCCAAAAGTACGTACACATTGTATCTCACCGATTGAAACGTAAATCTCCCTGGCCAAATGACCAGCCACGCGTGTGGAGTTCTTCTACCACACCAAACGCTCCATCATCCTCCCACAACCCATACCCACGATCCGGATGATTCGAATAGAGATATGCTATTCGCAACATCTTATCATGACTGTCAATCAGCACCTCCCCACTTTCAGCTTTCGCGCGAAACTCCTTAGCATTCATGGCCCACGGAACTAGTTAGTGATCATTACGGCCTGCAAAATATCACTCCGTATACCATGCCTGAGATCAAGTGTCAGAGGGATGCTGGGAGGAGCGGGCAATTTGTATGAGTACAGGTAGAAATTCGCAATCTAGATACAGGACAACGAGTCTTCCCTCCAACTCAATCCAAGACTTCTTCCCCCACACTAAACCGATTGCGCTTAGTATAGGAGAGGAGGCGGTGAAAGCAATAAGAACCTGGCGGCCCCTTTGATGTGAGCCAGCCAGAGTTCCGTCTCTTTAGAGAGAGAAGGCTACGACTGTATCTGCAACGTCAAGACAAGATCTGATGGATTCTGAGCTCCAACATGCTCGGGCTTCCAAGGAGTTTAGGGTAGATGACTAGGCAAAACTCCCATCTTTACTGAACAGACATTCCATCTCCTTCCTACTCAAAATATAAAACTTTCTATGATCAATAATTCAGAATGATTCAGAACTAGTAGTAACGTTTTCAGATTGAGAATATATCATGTGATTGGCTGTTGCGATAATAGGCTTGAAAATCCGGGCCGCAGGAGTCCTTGTTCTGATTAGATGAGGTTCACCACATGTTGGAATTGGCTATACACATACAGCCAAATCCTTGGCATCACGTGACCGCACTCGGCGCAGTAGTATTAGCCTCTCCTCCATCTAGAGATAGATGCTGCAGGTAGATAGAATTCCACTCATCCACTTCATCACGCAGCACCAGCAATTCAAGGGTAGCGCCAAGGATTTGCAATAGTTTCGCAACGCATAACAATGCCAAGCTGAACAAGAGCCTCACTTGCTTCTGATGCAGTGCGCGTGCTAAGATCAATAACAGCTCCCCTTACTTCATATCAGTAAGAAAGGTAGCTTGTACATGAAGAATGCCTGGTGTGCCTTCTAGTAAAGGCTGTGACGCTTGCGTCAAACAGAAAAAGAAGGCAAGCTTCAAATTCCTACAGGTACAGCATGTGTCTTACATCTTCACAGTGTGACCAATTGAAACCAGTGTGTTCACGATGCAGTCGTCTCCAAATTTCCTGTACGGGGTCTGGCAAGCAGCGGTACAAGTTTAAGGAAGTCAGAGTGGGAGCCACTCCGAAGAAGATGGAGACGAAGCGCTCTCAAACTACTCCATCAGGCGCCTGGTCGCTCTCAAAGACTCCCAGCAACGGAGCAACTGTCATGCTCAACAGTTTCGTCCATAAACTTGAGGTGAAAGACCTCAGATATGACATATGCTGGGCGTATGGGGACCTCCTAAAGGAGGTGCCAAAGCGCTTGGGCACCAATGCTGCCCTAGACACCTCTGTCTGGGCTTTAACAACCATACTGTCAGATTTGAGTACGGGTCAGAAGTCTGTACATGCGCTCACGCGTTACGGATGCGCTTTGAGAGCTCTCCGAAGATGCCTGAATGACCCTCTTATGGCCCAATCATCAAGTACGTTATGTGCAATCTATCTTATATGGCTCTGTCAGGTCTGCAACCGCCATCCCATGTGTTGATCGCATCTTGACATGGATACAGATTTGGAACAACGTAGAACAGGACCTGTCGCCTGGTCATGGGTCGGGCATTGTGCAGATATTAGCCACTGCACCTTACAGAAACTCACGGGATGACTTCGAAAGACTATTGCTTATAACTATAGCTGGGCCTGTGGTAGGTTTTCTTGCACTTTGACTACGGATGATCTACCGACTAACGCGTTCTTGTAGATCTTCGAAAGCTTGTATGACCCAACAGTACGGCTGAGTCCATGGATTAAAAAATTTATCGGGGATCTAGAGAAGCCTGTTGCAGAGGATAATTCTGCAGATGCAAGCGCCAAAGGTCAAGGTCGCCCACAGGCGGTTCGAATCATGGCCTTGGTTGTTCGTCTCCCCGACTTTATACGATACAATCCAGAGTTGCAGGACGAAATCATGACAAATTACAAGAATGTGCAGGCATTATCCAGAAAACTTCACGAAGAGATGGTTG